TACGACCTCTGACCCTACAAAGGGAACAGTAGGCTCTCTGCGAGATGAAGCGAATCGTGACTAATGTCTGAGAGGCGGCCACAGGGAGGGATCTGAAAGCGCCATTGTGTTTCTCATGACATGCTCTGTTTTGAGAAGGACGGGTACCAAGCTAGAAGGAAGGGCACGGTACCAAGGAAAAACTGAGAAGAGTGACACATTTCTGTGAGAATGGTACCCAGCTTGGGCTGAGGCTTGCAAAAAACAACACCACACACACACACACACAACCACGAAAATGCTAACGTTGGCAAGAAAAAAAAGGGTGGTGCTTAGGGACCACAGTAGCATGTAAAAACAGAGGATAGAGAAAGTAAGACACCTCAACTCCTATTTTATGTATGACCTCTTCATGAACGCAATATGCATATATATATATATATATTTGTAGAGACAAGCTTTAAAACTTTCTAGTTAGAAGCCCTTTTCAGCCAGGCACAGTGGCTCTTGCCTGTAATCCCAGCACTTTGGGAGGCCAAGGTGGGAGGATCACTTGAGCCCAAGAGTTCAAGACCAGCCTAGGCAACATAGCGAGACATTGTCTCTACAAATTTGTAGAGACAAATTTGTAGGGACAAAAAGGCCCACCTTGGCCTCCCAAAGTGCTGGGATTATAGGCAAGAGCCACCGCACCTGGCTGAAAAGGTCTTCCAATTAGAAAGCTTTAAAGCAGCATCACTAAAAGAGCTCTGAACACTTAGGCAGGGGCCTATGGTAAGGTAATAAGTGTGTGTCCTCTCAGCCCCATTCATTCAAATCTCCAGGCCCTGCAGGCTTGTATCGCAGGGCCTACACAAACCTACAGAGAGCTCAACAGAGCTAATGTACATACTCAGCCCCTGAGATACCACTGTAGACTGTGAGTATTCCAAAACATTGTTTTCACAAATGTCCCAATTTACCAAAAAGGGAAAGGTGTAATTCCTGCTACATAGAACAGTAAGTCCTGCAACATTTTAGGCCATATAACAGTTTTGACGCCCTTCAAAAAGGAAGAGATGGATTTTGACAACTAGCACAGATTTGAGAAGAAAGCCAGACCAAATGACTCGATTGGCTTTTCTGCTTAAAGGTTTCCTAAGGGAGCAGGCTGGAGAAAGCTACAGTTACTGTGTATCTTTAAGCCAAAAAATGCCCACATATTGGCTCTGTGTCTACTTAGGCCCTTGACAGTACAGGTGCATAACCACTGGGCTCTGGGCTTGGGCTATTCTGAAGGCCTTATCTCCTCGAGCACAGTGTGCTATGTGAAGCCTCTGTGTCTTTGCTGCACAGTGATCCCTGGTGTGAGTCACCTTCCTCACACCTTTTGTCTGGCTGTTTGTTCTTCAAGACTCAGCTCAAGCAGCGCCTCTTCTTAGAAACTCTCTCATCTGCTGAGTATGATTAAGAAATCCCTTGTCCATACCGGCTAAGCACTCTGCACTCCGCCGTCACACTGTAGTGCCCTTTCCCTGGGCTACAGGTGACACTTCTCTATCTGCCTCCCTTAGTGCCTGCAAGCTTCCGAACAGGACTGTATTTCCAAAGCCCAGCATAGTGCCGGGCACAGAGCGGACCCTCAAGTCCTGATTGTTCGAATGAGTTTTGCTTAGAGGTTCAAAGTCATCCCAAAAGAAGTTGTCTCTAATTGTGTTCCGTGGAATAATCTAAGTCTAGACTTATCCGTGCTTTGCAGTAATAATACACTTTCAGAGACTACAAAGCTGGGAAAAAAGATAATTATATCAAAGACTCAAAGTTCAAGGTGTAACAGTCTACAGACTGGTCATAAAACCTGAAACATAGATAACTTTTTTGTACAGGTTTATTTTCTTGATGGTATGCTAAAGGAACGATTTTATTTGTTTGCATGGTTTTATTTTGTTTTGGGGTGAAAATCAGAAACAGATCATCTTGGACAACACATCACAGATGAATAAGTAGATATTGACAGAAATGTTGCATTAATATACCACATTCATTACAGCTCTGCACAGTGCTTGCATCCATGCATTGCTAATCAAGGGCAATACACGAATATATCATGTTATACCACTGGCCATATTGTGTACTATCATGTAATATCAGCAGGCCATCTATCATATATGTTCATCTATGTTTCCAAACTTTATGAACACTCCATAGATAGACAATTGACAACTAACAATAGCATTTTTATAAAAATAATCATGAAGCTTTATGTTGGATGTCAAAAAAGTCAGCTAGATATCTACACTATGGGAATTATCTGACTCCACTCATCCATCCACATTGAGCACTCACTGTGTGCTAAATAGGCTAGAATCTACAAATTTAGTGGAAAATGAATACTGCTTCCCCTAAGCTTACATTCTTTTTTGTTTGTTTTGTTTTTTGAGTTGGAGTCTCACTCTGTTGTCCAGGCTGGAGTGCCGTGGCACACTCCCGGCCACCGCAGCCTCGACCTGCTGGGCTCCAGTGATCCTTCCGCCTCAGCCTTCCAAGTAGCTGGAAATACAGGCGAGTGCTACCACGCCCAGCTCATTTTTGATTTATTGTAGCGATGAGGTCTCGCCAAGTTGCCTGGGCGGGTCTCGAACCTGCAGGCTCAGGCAATCCACTCACCTCAGCCTCCCAAAGTGGGGGATTACAGGCTGAGCCACCAAGCCCGGCTAGCTTACATTCCAGTAGGGAGAGGGAATGGATAATAAGTAAGCAAGTTAAATAAGGACAATTGCTGACGGGGTCCATGAGTAAAATAAAACAATGTGTGATGGGACAGGAAGGCTTTGGAATAAGGGGATATGTGCATGCATCTCTGAGGCTTGCAGGAAGTTTATGTAGGGAAGAGCTGGGGGGTCTGGCTGGCCATCAGCTTGATGTGAGTCAAGAATGTGCTGCAGCTGTTAAAAAGTAACACCTGGTTTAGCCTGTAATCCCAGCACTTTGGGAGGCCGAGGCGAGTGGATTGCCTGAGACCTCCGGTTCGAGACCAGCCCGGGCACCTTGGCAAGACCTCTTCTCTACAATAAATAAAAAATTAACCGGGTATGGTAGCACACACCCGTAGTTCTGGCTATTTGGAAGGCTGAGGCAGAAGGATCGCCAGAGTCCAGCAGGTCGATGCTGGGGTGGCCGTGAGCGTGCCACTGCAATCCAGCCTGGGCGACACAGTGAGACTCCAACTCAAAAAAAAAAAAAAAAAAAGTAACTGCAAGCCCAGGTTATATTAATAGGGGCAGAGTGGTGAGTGAAATCGAGCATAGTGATGATACTACTGCCTCCATGGTGGGCATACCATCTCTAGACCATCTTCTGTAATTGCAAATGCTACACTTTAAGAGAGTCATTGAACATCGGGGGTGGGAGGGTCTGGAAATTACATCTTATGAGGCAAAGTTGAAAGAACTAGGGAAGTTGAGTTTGCAGAAGGAACCACCAGTCATCTTTAAAATATCTGAAGATTCAAGATGTTCAGAAGTGAATGAGTGCATTCTCTGTTATCCTAGGAGTCCAAGCCTGAACTACTGAGAAGACAGCATGGTGTACTTCAAAACAGGAGAGATGTTTCAAACAGAATTAGAGCTATTCAGAAATAGAATAGGCTTTTTGAAGAAATGAGCACCCCATCCTCAGAAGTATTCAAACAGAGATTGGGTAAACAGCTGTTAAAAAGATTGCCTTGGGCGGGCTCTGTGGCTCAGCCTGTAATCCCAGCGCTTTGGGAGGCCGAGGTGAGTGGATTGCCTGGGCCCATGGGTTCGAGACCTTCCCGGGCAACTTGGTGAGACCTCATCTCTACAATAAATCAAAAACTAGTTGGGCATGGTAGCGCGCACCTGTAGTTCCAGCTACTTGGAAGGCTGAGGCGGAAGGATCGCCCGGAGCCCAGCAGATCGAGGCTGCGGTGGCCGGGAGCCGCCACTGCACTCCAGTCTGGATGACAGAGTGAGACTCCAACTCAAAAAAAAAAAAAAAAAAAGACTGCCTTCAAGAATCTTTGGGAATGGGTAGAGCTTTGCTTGTTTGAGTGGAAGGTTTTCTCATCTTGGAATGCCAAATCATCTTTAAAGTATTTGAGCCACAAGCAACAGTAATGCCAGGAATTTTGAATTCCCCCTTCCTCCCAGAGCTTTTGTTTCCTCGGAAGAGTGATCTCTTGAAGATCAAAGGAACAGACCCATCTTTAGTTATGGGCTTCTCCTATCACTGGGGCAGAGGGTATCTTCCTGGGAGCCTGAGCAGGAAGATGCAGACCTCGCCTTCCCTGCCCCTCAGAGACAGGGAGATGACGGAGGACAGGGAGATGACGGAGGACAGGAATCCCCCAAGGCATGCCCTGGAGTTAGAAGTCACCTCCACTCACCAGTATTTCTGAGACTCAACACATGAGGGCCAGGAGCCATGTCAAGGCTCCCAATATAACAGCATTTAGCTAGAGACAACTGCACAATGCTTCTGCTCATCTCCCATGTGCATGTGTGCATGTGTGCATGCATGCCTGTGTGTGCGTGCGCGCGTGTGTATCTGCATGTGTGTAAGCAAGACTCTCTGAACTTGCCACCTTACCATACAGTAAGGTTCAGGTCAGAGTAAGGCTCAGGTCAGAGCTCTGCAGAGCTTTCTCACAGGCCTAAGGCCTCTCCCTCTCTCTGGAATGTGGATTTATCTCGGGCAGACAGGTGCTCTACTTTCTGTTCTAATGCCCTTTTAAGGCAATGTCTCTGCAGAAGGGTTTCATTGAACCCTGTAGTGCATATGGCCACTTTAACTGCTCAGCACAATCATTTTATGATTATGATTTGATAGTGTATCAATTCTGTCTCTACCCATATTTGGAATAGAAACCAAATCAAAGCCCATTAAGATTAAGGCTTAGAGCTGTGATAACTTGATTGCCGGACCAAAGTGTTTCTCATATATTTACTTTGTGAAGAAAACGTGTGTTTTCAGAAGTACAGTGGAGATCACGGGACATGAGTTCAGTGAAACACCCATACCTGAGCCACAGACAACAAAAACAAACAGTGCCAACAGCCATGGTCCCACGGGATATTTCTCCTCTTGCGGCCTCTGAAAGGGAAAGGGAAAAAGTAAGATTAGGTTCATTGATTCAATAAACGTGTATTGAATACGTCCAGGCATTGTGTTAGATGCTGTGGATTCTACCATGTGTGAGGCAGGCTTGGTCTCAACCCCTCAGTGGGCAGATAGAGATCAATACAGTCAATTACAAAGAATTGAGACAGGTTTGCAAAAATTCATCAATAACCTTATTAACACCTCTGTGACTCCATGAACATGGTGGTCTTAAATGTTCTGGGAGCAGATAGGGTATAAACACATAAACCGATACAATGATTTGGGAGCCAAAATGATATTAGCAAATAATTGCTTCCATCTGTGGAAGGTATCCTCTACGCCAGGCACTGGACTAGGCAATCCACACCCATCCTTAACAGCACGCACAACTCTTGTGCAAAGCAAGTATTATTATCTCCATCTGCAAGCTGAGAAACTGTTAACTGAGTTTGTTAACTGTTAACTTGAGCAAGCGCTGGAATTCAGACCTAGAACTGCCTCATTACAGAGCATGGTTGTTTCCCATTAATAGATTCATCTTTGATTCCTGCATCTGTGAATTCCAAGCAGCATCAGAGAACCCAGGCATCTTCTCAAACCCTTTTACATACTCCCCAGATTAGGACATCGGCACAGTGGAAATGCTCGGAACACCAGAAGCAGCACAGCAGCTGCGAGCAGGTATGAGTGCAGCACATGGTGTAACAAAGCCCCCAAGACTTCGCAAAGCTTGCGCTCGGACAGTCTCTGTTCTCTGGGAAGCAGAAGGGAACTGTTGAATCTCCTGTTCTTCTCAACCCACACACATAGACATAATAAGAGCTGTCCTCCATGGCACCTCCAGGTATATGTGCAGGCAGGGCTTGCTCTTTTAAGTCAAATCAATCAATGAAACAACAAATATTCTCCGAGAGAAGCATCAGAAAAAGCAGCGAATGTCTCAAATAAAAAGGTAGAAGGAAGAGAGTGGAAAAAAAAACAAACCCCAAAGAACCCACTAATTATTTTCTCATCAACTTGAGCAAAAAATAGGCTGCATTCAGTGTAAGTTAAATCTCTCTCTCTCTCTCTCTCTCTCTCACTCACTCACACACACACATATAGAAAAATATATTGGTACAGAAGACATATTGACAATATTTATTTAAGGTTTAGATAATAAAGCCCAATTTCAGATTTCAATTAAACATCATTGACATTTAAAAATTATATTAGACATAATAAAATATGGGCTAAAGAGTATGTTCCTTTCCCCATGAATTCATATTCAGACATATTCATACACATATTCAGGCATATTCAGACACAGTCAGATGGAAGGTATGTAATATTAGTGTTTCAAATGATGCATGGTATTATAATCAAAGACGTAATTTTTTGAAGTGTTGAATAAGCTTTAGTAAAGTTTCTAACAAAAAGAAAACCATCCTTTGCTTTTCATTGGAGTTGCTTATCACGAAATTTATTGTAAATAAAAAATGCAAAATCTGTGATGTGTTCTATTTACATATAAAATGGAGCTAAGTTCTAGGTCCATATAAATAAAAATCAGCTTTTCACCTAAGAAACAACTTATTTTATTACACATAAGACAGCACCTCTTTAGTTCTAGGCTTACCCGTCACATTTTTAGCCAGCCTTCCCTCTTTGACCTCACTTGAGTTCAACTGTCACTTGTATGGTTGTCTACTTTTTCTTGATAGCATTTGTTATAGTTTGTAGGTCTATATTTACTCCTCTGATAATGTGCTTAATATCTGTGTCTCCATGAAACTGTAGACCCCACCAGGGCAGGGACTATGTCTTGTTCATATATCACTGCAGAGAAATGCCTGGCACAGAACTTAAACATAGGAGAGAAATGTTCATTGAAGAGAAAACAAGCATACAAGTCTCATTAAATATGGTTTCCTAGGTCAGGGAGAGTAAACACCAGGTCTAGGAAAGATATTGTCTTTTTATGAATACTTCCTAACTGGGGTTGGGTTATCCCTGCATTTCTCTTACTAGAGCAGTATGGATTAAAGGGTCAATGGCAGGTAGACTAAGGATTAAGACCGTTCGCTTCTCTGCCCTTGACAAGTTCATATCTACCACCACTTATATGCCGGCGAGTCACACTGAAGGGAATCAGTGACTACTCTTGACCAGACAAGGATAAAAATCAGCCTTAAATAATTGCTTAAGATGGTGTTGCTTTGTTAAACTCTGGTGTATCCACGTGGCTCTTTGGGCTATGGCCACCATGTTTCCTAGCTTTGGCCTCCTCTCCTACCTTGGGGAGGTGAATTTCCTCTCTCTCTCTCTCTCTAACCTACTTTCTAAATAAACTATATTTTCCAATCTAATAATAATAATAATAATAATTGCATAAGATAACTGTGTCATTCTTTGGCCCTTAAGACCAGGTCAAGTTCAGATCAAGTAAATAACAGAGATATTAAATAAAGTTACCTGAACAAAGTGTGACATTTACCCTTCCCCAGTCTCCTCCACCATCTTCCTAACAATTTGTCATAATTGCCCATAAACCAACTCTGTTGCCATTGTCTCACTAATGCGGTATACAAAATTCACTCTAGTTCTATTTCTGGCAAAGCTAGCAAGCTAATTCAGGAGCCTGTCAATGAATTATTGGCCTAGGACAGATATCAGATGGAGTCCTTTATCTGTCATCTGCAGAAAAACACAGATCATAGCATGCAAAGCTTAAAGCCAATAACACAAGAACCTTTTGGACGACATTCTCCAGTGAATCCACATTATTTGGAGACTTTGGCTGATCACAATACCAGTATATCCTGTTTTGACAGCTATGGGTTACTATTGTTTAGAAGGGGTGACTAGCACAATCCCATTTGGGCAATTCACGTAAAATGGACTCTATTGCTGGGAAAGGTAAGGAAAACAGTAGCCATTCTGCAAATGACATGGTTTTCCTCAAACATGAGTTTGCCACTTCCTAAGGCTCCAGAGTGTCTGGGAATAACTTCCCCTGTGGTAAGATTCCAGGAGGGTAACTCAGGACTCTGAAGTTTTAATTCCCCCTTCATTCTGGAGAAGTTACGACTGTATAATCACAAAATGATGATTCTATTTCTCCATTTCTTAGATTAATCTACCACTTATATGCCGGCGAGTCACACTGAAGGGAAGAATATCTGGGAGAATATATTGATTTGCCCCAGTCTGTTGGCTAATAATAAAACGCTGAAGCATCTGCACACAATTAAACGAGTCTATTGCTGAACGGATTCGTCTAAATTTTTGGTTGGCATCTATACGCATTTACTGAATCTCACCCTAAATAAGTGATCTTTTACAGGTTACTTCTATCAAAGTGCAATCATGCTTGACCTGTAATTGGGAAAATGACTTTTAGAATTCCTAAAGCTTCTTTTTGAAAGAGAATTTCATTTTTCTATAAGGATGCTGACCTATTTACAATAAAGTTTACCAAAAATCCCTCCAAACAATTCAAAGCAAACATGTATTGTGGCTTGGTTGGAAACCTTTCATTACAAATTTAGCTGGGCCACTGAAAAACCCTCACAGGTGCCAGACACTTTTGGGGCACCCATCCATGATGTATCAGAACTGATTAAATGCACTTGTGCTGCGCATTAAATATAATATAAATGTAGCCCTGAAAGCTGAGTTGAATGACAGATGACTAGTTATATTTTTTAGAAAAACAGTGTTTTCCCAATGTTTCCATTTTCTTCTCTTATTCTGGAGTCAATAACTTTTGCTTCAGGTCCCAAACATGTCTAGGGGTTTTGAAAAGCCTGAGGTGGCAGACACTGAGTCTGCATAGTTTGATGGGTAAAACAGACCTGCAAATTAGTTCTTGTTTTCTTTTTACTTTTGTAGTCCGATAAGTTGTCAGCTGAGATCTGACAACTGAATTCCAGTCCTTTAGTTCATTAAAAAGAGCCACACGACTAGATATCTTTACTATGCCAGCTAGTGGGTCCGATAGCTTGAGAAAGAACTGATCACCTAGGAATATACAATCCTGTATACTTTAGCGTCAGTTAAATTGTTTTTCAATGTCAGTCTGGGTAGCAATTTTTTTTCCTGAGTATAAATAGGGAAAACAAAGATCTATGTTTAAAAAAAAAAAAGAGGGTTCCAGTTAGACAGCATATTGGGGTTTTGCTGCCCTAATCACAGCTAAATGATCTAATTCCCAACAGAGAGAATTGTATGGATTACTTAAACCTAAAGCGGTGTGTGAAGCTTTGCATGGAGCTGAGTTTGATCCCAAGGCTTCTCTGCCATATTACTGCTTGGTTTTGCAAGAATTCGGGGGTGAGGACTGCAGGTTCATTTTTTTGCTCAGTTAATCAAAGTAGCATCATTTCTTTGGCTACAAGGAATATCTTCATCAAATTGCTTCATATGGATTCCCAGACAACCGTACGGGTCACTGATCCCAGGCGCCTTCGCTCAAAGACTTGAAGACTAACCAGCTCTGACGAATGCCCGTCTGGTTCATGCTTCTGAACGTCCACAGTGCCAGGCCTGGCACTCTCTGTTAAAGATAATCTGCTTTGCTAAAAGAAACTCCCGAATAGAAGGCACAGTTGCAAAGCTTTAATTTACAGTTTCTGGGGGCACATAATGCCTGGCCCCTAAAGTGAATGAGCCCGATTCACAGGGTGGGAAGAGGAGGTACGCTTGCACTCAGACTTCAGCTCAGGGGCGGCGGGGGGTTTCACCGGCAAAGGAGTAAGTGAGAAAAGAGGTAGGGGGGGAATGTGGGTCCGGATCGCAACCTCCACTTGGAGAACCCCACTTTTAGCATCTCCAGGGAGACCATCACAATGGCGCTGGAAAGAAAACCTTGTCGTGGTGCTGTCTGTTGGGGGAGGAGGGACAGGCGTGGGGTCTGAGAGGGGAAGATGGCAAGCGGCCTCCACTCACCCACTCATTCATTCATTCATTCACTCACTCAACAAACGTTCTAGCACGTTCTAGGTCCCCAGCCCTGCGTC